CCATCCATCCACCCACCCATCCATCCATCTAGCCATCCATCCATCCACACATTCTTACTCTCATTTGTTCACCCGCTGGCTCACTTACCGGCCCACCACTTTTCATAGCCATCCACCCATCCTCCCTTCAGTCCTTGTGGGGTGATGAGGTTGGAGAAGACATTCCATCTCAGAATTGCAGTGGATGGGAGGACAAACCCCTAAGGAAAAGAAAGGACTTTGGCTCAGGCTGGCACTGACTTGAGAGAGTCTAGGCTCGGCCTTTGAGGTAGCCGCCCAGTGTCCGTGGAGTAGCACCTGGGCATCCTCGAAGGTGCAAAGCGAGCCCAGAGCAGCCCGTGCCTTCTGCATGAATTCAGCCCCACACGGAGCTTCCCTCACTTCCTGGCAGACATTGATGAGTGCCAGGAGCTGCCGGGGCTGTGCCAAGGAGGCCACTGTGTCAACACCTTCGGCAGTTTCCAGTGTGAGTGCCCAGCCGGGTTCCACCTGCATCAGGACACGCGCATCTGTGAGGGTGAGTGGGGACTCTCCCTGGGCTTGCCCAGGCTCTTCTCCCTCCCTGCCTTCCTGCTCTGCCAGGCTTTGTGAGGGTCAGAGAGGGAAGACCACATCTGAATGCCCTGGCTTACCCTTTGCTTCCTACAGCCGCCCAAACATCCATCCACCCATGCACACATCCATGCCTCCATCACCCATGCATCATCCATTCATCCATCCTTCATCCATCTATTCATCATTTACCCATCCATCCATCACCTGCTTATTCGTCATCCATCCATCCATCCATCCATCCACTCATTTATCATCTCTGCATCCATCCATCAGCCAACCATCCATCATCCATGCAGTCATCCATCTGCCCATTAGTTCATCATTAATTCATTTATTATTCATCCACTCCTCCATCCGTCCAGCCACTCATTCATCTATTCATCCACCCATCTATTAATTTATTAATCTGTCCATCATCCATGCATCCGTCTGTCCATCCTTCCATCCAATTATCCATCCATCTGTCCATCTGAGTATCCATCTGTCCATCCAATTACCTATCCATTCAATCATCCATCATCTACCCATTTATCCATCCATCTATTCATTTATTCATCTATATATCCATCCAGCCATCTATCCAATTATCCATCCATCCATCAGTTTTTCCACCCACCCAGTCATCCATTTATCTATCCACCTACCCATCCAGTCACTGATGCATCCAATCATCAATCCAATCACCCATTCACCATCTAGCCTCCCTTCTTTCCTTCCTTCCTCCCTCCTCCTCCCTCCCTCCCTCCCTTTCTTCCTTCCTTCTTTCCTCCCTGCAAGCAGTGTTAACTGAGCATCTATGTGGAGCCAGGTACAAAAATCAGCACAAGGACAGTTGTATTCCACAGACACCCTTTTAAGGTTGACACTAAGGTCCCCACTTGTCATTTCCTGTTCTAGTTACTCCATATATAAAGTAATTTCTGGTAAGAAAGGACCTAGCTGGGCTTGGTGGCACAGTCTATAATCCCAGCACTCTGGAAGGCTGAGGCAGGAAGATCATAAGTTTGAGCCCAGCCTGGGCAACTTAGTAGGCTCCTGTCTTAAAGCAAAGAATTTTTAAAAACAGCTGGGGATGTAGCTCAGTGTGAAGGCCCTAGGTTCAACTCCCAGTATCATAAAAAGAAATAAAAGAAATAAAAGAAAAAATAGGGCTTATGTTTGCCAATTTGCTTTTTTTTTTTTTGCTACTTACATAGTGTTATAATAACTTTTTTGTTCTTTAACTACTGCTTTCCTTTATGACTAGTTGCTTTTTTCTTTCTAACAAACTATCTAGTTCCCTTCCTGTTTCTTTTTCTGTGCCTTTTAAAAGTATTTTTGAATTATCGTTCTGGAACTACAATTAGCATCTTAACTACAATAATCAAGTTTGAGTTATGTCAACTTTTTTTCTTTCTCTTTTTCTTTCTTTCTTTCTTTTTTTGGTCTTTTTGAGACAGGGTCTCACTATACAGTTCAGGCTGGCCTTGAGCTCACTTTGTAGCCCAGGCTGGTCTCAGACCTGTGACGATCCTCCTGCTTCAGCCTCCTGAGTGCTGACTTTATTTCAGTAGTATACAAAAATTGTTCTTTTACAGCTTTATCCTTCCCTTTATGTTGTTATCATCACAGATTAGGTCTCTTTAAAAACATGTGCCCATTAGCATTTATCAATAATTGCTATTTCTCATCAAGCACAGTAGTACATGCTTATAGGTCCAGCTACTTAGGAGGCTGAGTCAGGAAGATTGCTTGAGACCAGGAGTTAGAAGCCAGCCTGGTCAACAAAGTGAGACCTCATCCCTAATTTTATTTTATGAGTTTTAATAATTTTTACTAGTCTGAGTCTGCAGTACTACCAGTTACACTCATTGTGGGGGCGTCCATGTACATAGCAATTATTGCTTTCTCCATTGCTTTCTTCGAATCCCATCGGAAAAAGGAGTTAATAACCAAAAACATGATACTACTGGCTTTTACCTTCACCGATGCAGTCACTGTTTTCGTTGCTCTTTGTTTCTCTTCGTGGCCGTGGGTCACTGTTCAGCGTCTTTCACCCCGTGTGGGGGACGTCTGTGTGTGCTTCTTGTAAAGAGTACAGGGATGAACCCCCTCGGTTCCTGTTTACCTGAGCCTGTCTTTTTTTTTTTTTTTTCAATTAATTAAGTTTATTGGTACATTTTAGGTATACATAATGATCATGTTCATCGTAGGGAATTTGTACCTGTACATGATATAACTTCATTCTTTTTTTCTCTATTCCCCTCCCCTCCCTTCAACCCCTCTTCCCCTCCTTTTTTGCAAAAGCTTTGTTTCCATTTTTCCTTCTTTTGTCATGCTTTTCTCTTGCCTTCCTTTCTCCCTCCTTCCTCCTTAGTTCGCCTTCCCATTTGAATGTTTTCTCCCTGTTTCACAATATCTATGATACATTTTGGTCCTAACTTACACTTTCAGTTTCTCACACCAGAGAAACAGTGAGGTATTTACACATGTGTGTCCTATTTATTTCACTTAAGAGAATAGTTGCAAGGTGCATCCATTTACCTAGAAATGTCTCAAGTCTATCCTTTTTTATGGCTGAGTTAAAAATGATGTTAAAAAAAAAAAAAAAACAACACATCATCTCTATCCATTCATCAGTTGATAGGTATTTGGAGTATTTCCAAAATTTAGCTATTACAAACTGTGCCACTATAAACCTTGGTGTGCATATATTGCTGTGATGTGATGCTTTTAATTCCTTTGGGAAGATACCGAGAAATGGAATAGCTGGATTGAATGAAACTTCTAGTTTTAGTTTTTTGAGGAATCTCCATATTGATTTCCACAGGTTTTGCACCAGCCTACACTCCCACCAACAATGGAGAAGGGTTCCTTTTCCCCACAACCCCTCCAGCATTTGTTATTGGTTGATTGCTTGACGATAGCCATTCTTTCTAGAATGAGATGGATTCACAGCCTTGTTTTAATTTGTATCTCTTGAATGTTGGACATTTTTTGTGTATTTGTTTGATGTTCCTACTCTTTCATCTGAGAAGTGTGTATTCATTTCAAATACCCATTTTTTGGATTGAGTCTTTAAATTCGGGAGGATCTGGGTTTTTTTTAGTTCTTTATATATTTAGATATTTAGTTCTCTATATATTTAGATATTAGTCCTTTGAAGAATAACTGACAAAAATGTTTTCCCACACTATGGGTTGTCTTTTTACTCTGTTGGTGGTTTCTCTTGCTATGCAAAGGCTTTTTAATAAGAGATCCCAGTTGCTGATTCTTTGTGATAGTTCCTGCGCAATTGGAGTTTTGTTTATAAAGTCTTTCCCTACAGCTGTGTCTTCAAGAGTTCCGCCCATTCTATGTTCCAGCAGGTTTACTATATGTTTTAATATTTTGATCTTTGGGGCTGGGGATTTAGCTCAGCAGCAAAAGCGCCTGCCTGGCAAGCACAAGGTCGTGAGTTCGGTTCCCGGTACCGGAGAAAAAACAAAAAAACAAAAACAAAAACAAAAATATTTTGATCTTTGATCCATTTCAATTTTAGTTTAGTGCATGATGAAAGACATGGGTCTAGTTGTAGTCTTTGGCATGTGGAAAGCCAGTTTTTCCAGCACCACTTACTAAAGAGGCTGTCTTTCTTCCAGTGAATGTGTTTGGCACCTTTGTCAAAGATAAGGTGGCTGAGTGTGTCTGGAGATATTTCTGCGTCTTTTAATCTCTTCCACTGATCATCAGGTCTGTTGTTTGTTTTTTGCCAGTACCATGCTGGTTTTATCGCAGTCACTTTGTAGTATAACTTCAAGTCAGGGATTGTGATGCCCTGGCCTTGCCTTTGTTGCCCAGAATGCCTTTGCTATTCTAGATCTCTTCTGGTTCCAAATGAACTTCAGGACTGTTTTCTCTAATTCTGTGAGATATGCTATTGGAATTTTGATTGGGACTGCATTAAATCTGTATAACAATTTTGGAAGTATGGCCATTTTCACTATATTAGTTCTTTCTACCCCAAAGCAAGGGATATCTTTCCATTTTCTGATATTCTCCTGAATCTCCTTTTTCAGAGTACTGTAGTTTTCAATGTAGAAGTCTTTTACTTGCTTCATTAGATTGATTTCTAGATATTTCATTTTTTTGGATGCTGTTGTAGAAGGTATGGTTTCCCTAATTTCTCTCTCAATATGTTTGATTTTTGTGTATAGGAATGCTATTGATTTTTGAGTGTCATATTTCATTGACTTTGTATCCAGTTGACTTTGTATCCAGAATGCTTTCAGCTTTTGTCCATTTAGCATGATGTTGGCTGTTGGTTTGTCACAGATGGCTTTGATCAGATTGAGGTCAAGACCATCTATTCTGATTTTCTGTAGGGTTTTTTTTAAAGGTCTTTATTATCACATTGTTATATGGTGCACTGTGAAGGTTAATCTTTTTTTTGTTTGTTTGTTTTTGTTTTTCTTCCGGTACCAGGAATCGAACACATGACCTTGTGCTTGCCAGGCAGGCACTTTGCTGCTAAGCTAAAGTCCCAGCCCCTTCTGTAGGGTTTTTATCATGATTGAGTGTTGGACTTTGTCAGGTGTTTTTTCTGCATCTATTGAGATAGTCATGTGATTTGTGCCTTTGGCTCTGTTGATATGGTGTATGACCTTTACTGATTTGTGTATGTTGAACCATCCCTGCATCCCTGGGATGAATCTTACTTGGTCATGCTGTATAATCTTCTTGATGATTTGCTGCATTCTGCATGCCAGGATCTTACTGAGGATTTTTGCACCTATGTTCAGTAAGGAGATTGGCCTGTATTTCACTTTTTTGGTTGGAGCTTTCTCTGGTTTGGGTATCTGGGTAATGCTTGCTTCCAGAATAAATTTGGGAGTATTGCTTCCCTTTCAATTTCATTAAAAAGTTGGAGAAGTAGTAGTGTTAGGTCTTCTCTAAATCTCTTGTAGAATTCACCAGTGAAACCATTGGGGCCTGGGCTCTTCT